AAACCCAAATCATTTTGATATTATGGTCATTATAATGAAATTGCATGTCCTATTTATCTAAAAGGTTTAATTTCTTCTTTGTCTTTAAAATAGAAACATACACTATTTTACAAAGTTCCAAAAATGTTCTCCTATTCCTATGTCACTAGCTTCAAAGATATAGCAGGATGATGACTTAATGGTATAAATGTTTCATGTCTTTTTAATTTTTCATGTTAAATGTACAGTTCACATGAATAATAGAAAGTAGTTCATATGCATCATCATAGCTGCATTACACAATGCTTTTTTCAGTAACCTGTTAGCTATAGGGAAGGCATATGGGCATCTCCGAACAAAAATTATTTTGAAATTAGCCCATCTTCTAGAAGTTCTGGCACTAGAAAAAGACATTTTATACCAATACTGTTCCCAGGATTTTTATTTGCATACTTATTGAACTCACTGTTCAACAATCAAGTGGTCTGATCTGTCTGGGGTTACTCAAAAATAATTTATAAAAACAGATAGTTCAACTCAAAAGAGACTGTGTCTTACAAGCACTCTGTTATGTAACATGTGAATGAGGAGAGATGGAAGCGATAACAAAGAATGAAGAAGCACTCATTTCAGAACTAAGTCAGCTCCTCAAGTAACCTGCATATGTCCCCGCCAATTCATGGCAAAATGCTGCCAACTTCCAGGTTCCATAAATACAAAGCTACTAGTTACCATTAAAGTTTAGCAGATCAAAATGTTGCCTTTCCTTGGGCAGCTTCAACTGTGTTATAGATTACATAGAGTAAATCAGAAAAAGAAAACATGCCTCTAATATAAATATATGCATATTCTGGAGTGAAAATAGGATATGAAAACTCTTCACTCAAAGCTAACTGCCATTCATGTGTGAAGCTATCAAAATTCACTTGAAGAATGTTTTAGGTTATCAATCATATATCAACTGTTTTATCTTCAATGTTTTAAATACCTCATCCAAGGATGTAGTTCACTATTAGCCATAAGGTTTGCACAGATGTTCCTTATGAGAATATGGAAGACCATGCCCCTGGTCCTGGGGATTTTAAATCAAGAATGAGTGTTTAATTTTTTTCAAATGCTCTTTATCCTTGAGTTTTGAATTTTTCAAATGCTTTTTCTATGCCAACTGAAGGGATCATATGGGTTGGTTGGTTTGTTTGTTGTTTGTTTTCTCACCACCTCACTGATACGACAGATTCAGAGAATTGCTATTTGAAGACTGAGCCCATTTGACTGTCACGCAGAATTCCTCTTATCCTTTATGGATTCAGTTTTATGGATTATCTTATGTGAAGAATGAAGTGTTCATCTATCATTTCCTTTTTCTTTAATTTCTTTCCTGAGTTTGGTATCAAAGTAGTACTGTCTTCTCCACGTGAGCCGGGAGACTTCCCTCTGTGTCTGCATCTCTGTTATGGAAGAGACCTAGAGGATATGCAGGCAACACCAGCAATGCTGTGGACGCATGCGTACAACAACCATGTCCAGAAGACAACAGTTCACAGACCTCCTCCCCATTCCTCAGCTCTTGGGTTCTTTCCGCCTCTTCTTCTAACATGTTCCTTGAACCTTGATGGATTGCGAGGCTGATTAGAATGACCCATTTAGGGAAGGAGGTGTTTGAGAGGAGGGGAAGGGAACTTGGAAGAGGGGAATGGTGGCTATCATATTTCATTATATGGGTGTGCAAAATCCTAAGAAGGAAAAAGAGAACTATCTTCCTTCAGAGTTTGTTAGGGTCTCCTGAGGAAACTATTTATACTTTCTACTTCCTTGGTTTGGGTCAATTACTCTTTGCTGCTTAAGTATTTAATGGCAATGATGCAATAAGATTTTCTGTTTCATGAAAGAGGTTTATTTCTTATAAGTCATCAATTGTCATCACAGGGTGATCATTGTCTAGGCTTCAGTAGCCACAGTATAAGTGGACATAGACTTTTCGTTTTCTTCACGGGCAATTTGTGTCTTCCCTCTTTTTTCTTTTCTTTCTTTCTTTCTTTCTTTCTTTCTTTCTTTCTTTCTTTTTTTTTGGTTATCAGAGCTAGAGGCTAACTATAATGATATTTTCATTGTAGAAGTTAGCCTTGCGTTTTGGTGGGTTTTCCCCCAACGTTGTCCTGTTTTTCAGTGGTTTCTCCCATATGGTTTAGGATCTTGTCTTCTGCTTGCTTTGGTTTAACATTCTCTTCTTTGTTTAGCTTCTTAAGATGGAAACTAGGTTATTGGTTTTTTACGTCATTTTCTTTTGTCATATATACATCTAACATAACATATTTTCCTCTAAGTACTGCTTTTACTCTCTTCCGCAAATTTCAAAGAGCTAAATTTTGATCTAGTTCAAAATATTTTACTTAAGATTTTTTGACTCATAGATTATTTAGAAATGTGTTCCTTAACTTCCAAATTGTTGGGGAGTTTTCCATGCATCTTTCAGTTATTGAATTCTAATTTGATTCCATTATGGTTGAGGATACATTTTCAAAAGTATATAATGATATACTGATAAAGTATATTCTGATGAGTGTTCCATATACAACGGAGAAAAAAATATCTTTTCTAGCCTTTGTCTGAAGCACCATAAAGTTTCAAAGAAATAAATCAACATTAAGGACAAAGATGATTAGACTATGTTTTAATATTTTTAAAAGAAGTATTAGGTGGTTGTGATGGTGGTGCATGCCTGAAATTCCAGCATTTGGATGGCTGAAATGACATAATACTGAGTTGCAGGTTTGCCTGGGTCATACAAAAAGGAGAGAGAGAGAGAGAGAGAGAGAGAGAGAGAGAGAGACAGAGAGAGAGACAGAGAGAGAGACAGAAAGAGACGGAGACAGAGACAGACAGAGAGACAGAGAAAGAATGTGTTATCTAGGCCCTAAATTAGATATTTTACTTGATCTTCCAGAAAAAAATTTTATAGAGTCTAGAATTTCAGAGACATGTATAAAATAATTTGTTCAGTCATATTTTCAATGCCTGGCACAGTATAAAGTTTCTCCCTTTAATTTGGTACTAACAAAAATGTGAATAGATGCAATATTATGTATTTAGACTCACCTGCAAGGGATAAATTAATGTCATTTTCTGTAATTATGGTTGCAGTTGGAAAGCTTAAAGCTCTATGCTGGGTTTTTTGGGGTTTTTTGTTTGTTTTTTATTTTTTTTATTTTTTTTTCAGAAGGAAGGGAAAGGAACGTTTGCCAACTGCATAAAGGCAGGCATTCCTTTTGGTCTCCTAAGAGGTTCTTTAAAATAACATTTTATAACACCTATTTCTAAATGAATTCAAAAGCTCCATTTATATGACACCAGCTTCTAATTTAAACCCAAATGGAGAAAATAAATTGGGAATAAATTACACAGAAAAGAAGAAAGACTGCTCCAGGTTCCCATAGCTGCATCTCTGGATGCTGCAGTCAGTAACGCTCCACTTGGGAGGCTTGCATTGGGCCAGCCACTCTCTTTATGACAAAATTATACAACTTCCATTCAAGAGACCACACAACTGCATAAAGAGAAACTGATAAGTAAACTGAATGTAATCAGCCAGTAAGACTCGGTTGGTTAAACCAAACTCCATCAAATTATCAACATCTCTCTAGTAGGACATGTGTATCCCTTCACCCTAACGCTCCCTCCCTCCATACAGGGCGCTGAAGTGCCAATCAGGCTGCTCCTGAATTAACCCTGCTCTATGTAATTCCTCCTTACATTTCACTAGGACAAATTTAGAGAAAACAACGGACCATAGGAAGATATGGCAGGAGAGGGAGGCAAGGAGAGAACATATGCTGTAGACACCCATGTCTCCCATTTTTTATTTCTGACTCAGGGTGATTTCCTCAGTGTACAGGCAGCTTGGGATGGAGAGAGGACAACCAACAGCTAGCTCACTCGGCATTTTAAACTTGAGTTCCTTTGATGTCTGAGTTTACTCAGCAGTTCATAGGTTTAGTGAACCCAACATATTTTTAAGAAACTGTTTCAAGAATAAATTTGCACTGCTTGTTTTTCTTGCCCCACCCCCTCGACTGGACAAAAGGGTGAAGAGCTCCAAGAACCCCGACTCCCTCCCACTTCCGTTGTGCACCATGAGGGGGCCTTGGGAGAAGTCTTACCTCCTATGTTGAATAGACCTGGGTTGAGATGCATTAGCTCTTGCAGGAATGCTTTTGTGTCAGGACCATGGACACTGGGCCCTGTTTCCATCCACAGGCTGAGCCATATGCACATAATCTAGACTGCTCTTTTAGGTTCTGCACTTTTATAGCCTATTTTTGAAGATTAACACATTTGCAAGATGACTGACTCAATCTTTGCCTAAATGCAGTGAGTGTATAGGAAGCTCATGGAGACAATACATGTACATCTTGCAGGGGGTTATATATAATAGAAGGCAAAATTAAACCTATATTTTTAAAGTATCACCAAATCTAGTAGAAAGCAAGTCAACGTGTGTAACACTGAAATTTCGGGGACTTCCAGATTTCTCTAGCTACATTTTCTGAATGCACAAAAATTCCAGGTTTTTCTTTGTCTGTCTGTCTGTCTGTCTGTCTGTCTGTCTGTAATCAGCCCTTTGTACTCCACAGTGTGCTCCTGTCGTCAGTATTAACTCCTGATACTACTGGCTCTGTGTGTCTTTCCCTTTGAGGCAACAGTACATATAATACGAAGTACAATTTGTTGGATTTTTGTTAATGTATTTATTCATTCCAGTTTGATTTATTTTAATTGTGGACACTTTGTTAACTTTGTGAGCTTTGATAAGTTGTCAGTAGACATGCTTTATTTATGATAGATTTCAGCTTAAAGTTATGTTGTTACATGTGTGTGCAAATATAGATTTGGTGTTTTCCAAAGAAGAAGAGGAGAATGAGGAGGAGGTGGTGGTAGTGTTGGTGGAGGTGCTGGTGGTATGGTGGTGGTGGCAGGTAAAAGGCCATCAACCTTAGGTACAGAACCTCCTTTTTGGAAATTACCTTTTGTTGAGTCATCCTCTATGGGCTGTTTGAACAGCGTAATATCCTTAAATGTACACAGGAACAAGACCACCTTCTCGTGTTCATTTCTTATTGGTGCAATTTGCATGTAAAACCAAACAGGGGTACCTGCAGTGGAGAAAGAGGGAGAAAGAGGACAGAGGAGCATCAGACCCACAGCAAGGGTTAGCTTCCCTTTCTCTTTCCTGCCTCTCCTTGCTTCAGCACCAAAACAGCAGTTTTGTTACATGAATAAATACAATGCTTTAACCAGAGCTGTGGGTTCAGACCTATAATCAGTCTTATGCTGAGAAGGCTGAGACAGGAGGATCACAAATTCAAGAACGGCCTGTGCTACAAAGTGAGCTCAAGAGTACACTGGGCAACTTAGTAAGACCCTGTCTCATAAATGATTAAGATCATAATTAAAAATTTAACCAGAGCTGGGGATGTAGCTCAGTGATGGAATGTTTGTCTTGTATGCATGAGGCCCTGAATTCAGTCTCAATCCAAAGCAACAAAACAAAACAAGACAAAACTGTTTAACTCTATCAGCTACCAATTGTTCAGATTTAATGAGTGTATTTTTAGCTCCAAATATGAACATTCTAAAGAAAAGTACAGGGTCTCTTCCCAACTTGTGAACACAAAAGCAGTCTTTCTCCTAAAGTACTACTGGCATCACCTTTTAGGTGTGTGTCCTGAGGCCTCTGACAAACTCACTGAGTGTGATCACTCCTACATGCCTCTCTGGTCTTGTCACTTTGACAAGCGTTTCCAATTAGCTGCAACAGCAACACCTACTGCCCTGACAAGCCCAACTCCCAGAAGAGCATCAAAAACACTGCTTTTATCCCAAGACCCTCTATTCCATCAGATGGACATATGTGACATTTTGATGGCTGTGTCCCTAACACAGGAGACATCACCAATACTTGATGCCTACGGTATACTGAGTGCTACCTGAAACCTGTAGGGAAGTCATCAAAGGGAAAGTAAAATAGCATGTGTGTTCACAGCCTGAGAATCTCGGGTGTCTTGGTGAGCCACTGCCTCCTGCCCCTTGAGGTTCAACTGAGCCACATCATTCCTCAAGAAACAGCTATTAAACTCTCCAGAGGGATGAGAGTTTCACAGTTTTAAAGCTCAGGGTCATTCTATCACAATAAGACAAATGATAAATAAATAAGTTTATTTCCCACCAGATTTTTATCAAGCAAAAGAGCAATAAAATGTCCATGCTTAGGGGCAGAAGGGGTTTCATCAGGTTCATGATTTGGAGAGTGGATGTGTAGCTGATACAGCTGAGAACTTAGAGCATCTTAGTAGTTCCCCCATGAAAACCAAGTAACAACCTCCTTCATACCTGGATCCAAACCTGGGTCACCTAATGCCACTGCCAATTCTGTTTAAATGGTCACGGTAATAACAGTGCTCTTAAATCACCTGCTCAAGCTGGGGAATCTACCTAAGTCATGGAAGGGCTAACTTGTCACTTACACCAGATGAGTTGAGTCCCTCAGCAGGCTCCAGAAGCCAGATCACTGCAGAGAGATTTATGAGATAATGTTCAGCTCCGGCCACTGAGTGTGGCTCTAACAGGTCCATAGAAGGACACAGCCCTGTCTGAAATGATTGCAGAATGAGAAGGAAACTTGGAAACCACCCCATCATCTCCCAGCCAGGATTCCTCCCTCTTTCCTGCTCCTCCATGTCTAGGAACTGTGAGTGACATACAGTTTTACAAATAACCAGCACCAGACACTGCTGTGCTCATGACCTGTGGCTGTTCCAACACGGTGAGCTGGAGGCAGAGAGGGTTATAAACAAAGAAAAAAAAAGCACTGAAAATCTTTTGCTATTTCCAGGGCCTGCTGGAAATCTGGACAAGAGCTGGTATCACAGCCATGCCTGCCTATGGAAATAGACACTTTCAAAACTCTGGCAGAGGTGGGGCTGTCTGAAAAGCTGTTTCCAAATATTAAAGTAGAATTTTTTTCAGCTCATAGGCTCAGACTTGCCTCAGAACGGGCTGAATATTTTCAAGTGACTGTGAAATAGCCTCTATATCCTAGTTTTAAGGGTCAAATGAACAGGGAGTCTGAGAAGGATGGACAGAAGTGCAGTCTGCCCAACACTCAGAGCAAGCACTGGGCACTGGGCACTGGGCACTGGGCACTAGCACTATAGGTAGGCTCTGTCTTTTTCCTGAAGATAAACTTTCCCCAGTGTAGGAAATACCTCCTTTTAACAGGAAATGTCTCCTTTTAAATGGGAAGAAATTTTTAAAAAGAGGCTACAAACTGAAACGTCAACCCTGACTGAGTAAATCAGAAACTTCAACTGGCCCATTAGCAAAATGCCTTTTACCATAACTTAATTACTTGATGAAAGTATTAGGTGCAGGGCTTGGTATTCTGGAATTCCCCAAACAGTCTTCAAAAGATATGTCAACTTTCCCATCTAACATTTTTCAAAGTCACAAAACACTCTTTTTGTAGTTCATGTGCAAAAGCTGTTTGAGATGACCACTTACAAGATTCCTTTAAATCTAACTAAAATACTTGTATACTATCCTAATGTGTGGGTAGGTATATCCTTCCTACTAAAGGAAAAATCAAAATTAAAGACAGATGCAGAGAGCACACAGAATAGAACAGGAGCTTTCTACAGGGCTGCAGGGCCTGTCTCCTGCCAGCTATACGTAGACATTCATATGGCACTATTCAGTTTCTTAAGAGACCAGGAAGAACTGAACAAAAGCCACATAATAATTTCAAACCATAACTATCCTGGAAGGAGAATTGCAAAAATGTAAATGTCAAGTTATTACCAATACTTTTAGAAGTAAATAAACAAAACAGAATCCCACTGAAGCACTTTTGACAGACTCAAACAATAGACTTGGTTACAATGTCTGAAAATTGAGCAAATGTTTGTTAATTCTGCTTGAATGGGAGGGTAAGTAATCTTGAATTATTTGTTAAACTTGGGCCATATATCTAAGTCATCCAAAGACTAAAAATATCTATGTGAAAATGAAGGTGGTTAAGGCATCTGCGCATTCTATGAATCATAAATAAATATTGGAGCCTAAAGGGAAGACCAAGAGAACGTGTATAGCCTGTGCGGCAGGAAGAACTGATCATTCAGAACTGATTGCTTTCTGTGTGACATGCTGGCAGCTGAGTATGACTTCAGACAGAAACATCTCTTTGGCCTTGATTCTAAAAATGCAAGATAAAATGTTGAATGTTTCCATAAGTAAAGCCATGAAAGAAAATGTTCCCATCACCAAATACACTCCTCTGAGGTGATGTCTGAGAGGCTGTTATCCTTTTGTGGGTCTAGTGCTAATAAAGAAAATCTAATTTTCATTCCACATATTCTATAAAGAATAACAGATTGAAGGAAAGGGAATGATAAACCATGCACCATGAGATCCAACATGTAATGAACCTAGAGCCAACGTGTCCTGCTGAAGTTACAATGTCTCCCATACTTAAAGAGACCATAGTAATCACTGAAGATGGATATGGATTGTGTATCATTTATCATGAAAGCATATCCATATATACACATCTTAATATACATGTTTATTAAAAATAAATTCTTCTTACAATATATTCTGATCTCAGTTTCTCCTCTCCCAACTCCTCTTAGCTTCTCCCCACTTTCATACCCACCCCAACTCCATGTTATCTTTCTCTCTTTAGAAAAAACAGACAAAGGAACAACAACAACAAAGCCAAAATTTTAAAAAAAAAAAGATGAAAAATCACAAGAAACATACACCCAAAATCCGTATAAAAAGACAAAATAAAAAATCATATTATACAAGCAAAAGACAAAAAATAAACCATAAACAAAGCAATATGAGACAAAAAAGTCTACAAAATCACTAATGTTTGTTTTGTGTAGGCCATCTACTGTGGGGCATGGCCTCTGCTCTTAAGTGTGGTCAATATACCCTGTGAAGGAGTACATTGGAGAAAATAGATCTTCCTTTGCAGACAGATGTCATTTAGAGATGGCTTCTTGATTAAGGACTACGAGGGGACTCTACATATCAAGAAGAAGAAACAAAAGACATTTGAGAAAGCAGCAAAAAGAAACAAAGTTCACATTCACGTGACCACAAAATGATGCCACCAAGTTAAATCAAAGACTTGATTGTTGAGGATGTGCATGTAGTGGTGGGGGTGGCTGGTTAGTTGGTTATTTTTCCCCATACAGGGGCTGTTCCATGAGGTTCTGTATGATGACATACTTAGCATCTGACTGTGTACAATTCTAATCCTAGAGAGTAATTCATTATATCAGCAGATATTTACCAGATGTGACTGGCCTGTCCTGAGGAAAACGCCTATGCCTATCACTAGTTTAGCTAAAGGTTATACAACCGCCTATCCCCCTCACTGATATTTCTGTAGTAACTGTCAAAAGGGACTCCTGTAATAATGTGATTATGAACATACATTAGCACAGACACTATAGAAAACCTACTCTGAGATTAATTTTAAATTTGTAAGGCTGGGCCACCATATGATGTAACATTCCCACATCTGGGTATTTACCCCAAAGATTTGAAATCTACATGCACACTCATGTTCATTGCACTAAAATTCACAGGAGCCAATTTATGATTGACCTGAATGTCTATCAATACATAAAAAGTAAAACAATGAAGTGTGTATTCAAAGTGAATACTATTCAGTCTTTAAAAGAATTTCTTGGGCTGGGGAGATGACTCAGTGGGTAAGAATGACTGCTGAGCAAGCATAAGGACCTACATGGAACCCCCACAAAAAGCCAAGCATGGCTCTGCATGTGAATCACCCCAGCACTGAGAGAAACAGGAGAAAAGGAAGGGATAGACAGAAGGATGAGTGGGGTTCACAGACTAGTCTATCTGGAAAGTAAGAAGTTCAAGTAAGAGACCTGGTCTCCAGGGAATACAGAAGGTAAGGAAGAAAGACATCTAATGTCTTTCTCTGGCCTCCATATTCTGTGTACCCCCATATACATGTATACACGTACTTATACAACACACGAATATACAGATGTACACACATGCATATACAATACGCACTTGTACACATAGAGCTGGGGGAGAGAGAGAGTTAGTTTATGATATGTGCAACAACATTGAAGGAATAAAAAATTGTCGTCATGCTAAGTACTTAGTAAAATAAGCCAGGTACAGCAGACCAATATAAAACATGGGCTTATTTTAATTGGAACTAAGTCAATGTTTAAACACATAGCAGACAGCAGAGGTTCTCAGATGTAGGGTTGGGGTAGAAGTGACAAGAAGATGATTTAAGAATGCAGAGACAGTCTGATCAAATGTTTGTCAAAAACTGGGAACTCTGGTAACATTTGAGGGTATAAAGATAAAATAATAAAGAATCGTAATGTTAACAAACATAAAAAAAAAAAAGAATGCAGAGACAGTGTGACACAAGAGATAAGTTTCTCTGTCTAGGTGTGAGATGTTTTGCACAACATGGTGAATTGGTTAATAATGACAGCAGACTGCAGACACCAGAGTTGCTAAGAGAGCAATTCCCAATATTCTTACCACATAAAGTAAATACTTGAAATGTTGAATGTTACTTGTTTAACTACATTCCTAAGTCATAGTGTCACTTTGTACCCAATAAATATGAACAACCATAATATTTAAAATAACAATGTGGGACTGAAGAGATGGCTTAGCAGTTAAGAGTTCCTTTGCTTTTACAGAAGATCTGAGTTCAGTTCCCAGCATTCACATGGCAGCTCACAACCATCTGTGGATCCAGTTCTGAGAGATCCGACACCTGATCTTGGTTGGCACCGAGCACACACATGGTACACATACATGCATGCGAGCAAAACATTCATCCCTATATTTTTCACTAAATAAAAAATAAAATAAGTTTGTCAAAGTAAACTGAAATACATCATGTTTGTTTTCATTCTTCAAAAGGATCTTTGCAATGGTAAAATCATTAATTTTTCTGTCTAATTTCACCAGCAGCCTCTCCCCCTACACCAACAGCAGTAATGAAACATTATATCTTCTCTACCTTGTTGCTTAGCTACCATTTTCCAACCTATAAAATTTAGAAAGACCTAGGTCATCTTATTGGTAACAAAAATACCTACGGTTTTTTTTGTACAGAAGAACTTCAAAACAGTTTGACTCGTAGTTGTCAAAAGTCTGCCTGACTTTCTCGATGGTCTTCTTGTCGGTCAGTTCTCCATACATAAAACTGGAAGAAAAAAGCCTCTTTCATTTTTGTGTCACAGGTCAATCACATCATTGTCTATGATTAAGTATTCCATTTTGCCTTAAATGATGTCTTCATACACAATGAACTCAAATATGTAAGCCATTATTTCTGCAAACACTAGAAGTTTGTGATCTGTAATAGGACACGTAAAGACAGTAAAATGTTAAGCCATGTTTTAATCACTGTTCCTAGAACTTCTTACTGATAGTCATCCTTACTCACATAGCAAAGCAGAGAGGCAGAGAGATTACGTCCCGGTTGTAAATAGTTTCCATATGCACTACACTGGTAACTTCAATTACCAGGATTCTATCAAACATGTTTCACATCAACACTGTGAAGACCTTCATTACCATGGTATGTTGACTGCAACTGTGTGAAGTCAAACCACTGAAAAACAACAGTCCAGCCACGTCCCCTTATCAACTGTTGTGCTTTCTCCAGTTTCAAATAGTCAAGCATGACCCAAAACTAATAAATGACAAATTCTAGAATATGCAATGCAAACATTGAAAGTCGTGAATTATTCTAAAAGTGGAATTTCTTGCCACTCTGCTTTATCCACCACAATGATGTGAACCCCACGTCCTGCTCAGGATATTTAAACCCTGTATGAGTCTATACACTTGCAGAGTGTATACCCATGCTACCTAGTTGGTCTCTAACTCACTGTCTCTGTTAGCAAATCAGCCACTTTAGTTTGGCAGTGTGTGTATTCTAGCAACCATTATTTTACTTAATAACGGTCCCAAAATACGATAATAATGACTCTAGAAATTCAGATTTTTTCCAAAGAGAAGTCATAAGATACTTCATTAGTTGGAAAGTAAAAGTATAAATAAAAAATATATATTTTTTGTCCAATACATTATTATAATTGTTCTTTGAGATTATTATTATTGCTAAAGTCTTATTATTCTTAATTTATGAATGAAACATTATCATGAGTTCTATGTGTAGGAGAAAATGTGTATGCAGTGTTTGCACTATCACTATTTCCAGAATGCTATGGAGCCCCAGAACATATCCCCCAAGGACAAAGGGGACTTATCGTCAATAATAACTGCCTATCCAGAGCCACAACCAATCACAACATGTCCTCCAGAGCCTGTTGGTATCCGTAACTGCATTGGAACTAAGTAGTTCACACAGATGGTATACCACATAGCTGTGCTTCCTTTTTTCTTTCCTCATGTTACTTCCATGCAACATCTTAAAGAATGGACAGTAGGAAATAGAGACTAACCAAAAAATACTAAATTCCACCAAAAAAAAAATGAAGGATAATAATTGTGAAGAGTTGAAAGTAAGTGAAGCCGGAAGACACCAGAGGAACGTTGCTCTGCCAGTTGAGAGATTTTGCAGGCTTCCAGAGGAATTTCCATCAACACAAACAAGAAAAATGGCTCATGAATAAGTGTGTCCCCTAGGAGAATTCCTAAGCTGATGTCTGGGGCAGATACATAGTTTAGATATGGCTAGAACATACAAAGTAACCGTAGGATTGAGGAGTGATCCTCTACATGTCATAAAGGCTTTCCATTGTTAATGGTCGAAGAAAGCCCACAGCAAGATGGCTGGCTAGTGGCAACAGAAGGGACCATAAAGAAAGGAAGAGCTGAAGGGAGGGAATAACAGGTACTATTCGAACAAGGTGTTCGCCAGAAAGAGCTGGAACTCAGAGCAGATGAAATGAAAGTACTGTGGGGCATGAGAGAAGACACTTGAGTAACAAAGAAACCAAAGCCTTCTTCCAACTGCCCCATTACCCAGGTCAAGACCAGTTTCATACTTGGAACGTTCTACCACAATTAAAAAGATACACAGGAAACCTCCTAACAACTAACACTGACACCCTGAATTTTTGCTGCTGGACAATCTTGAAGCCTCAGTGAGTCTTCAGGGAGGGCACCCTATTATACTGCCTAGACGAATGAGGAACTCTGGTCATGAAGCACACTTCTTTCGTACCTGGGTTGTTGCTGCACATCATCTACCTTCTCTGTACCTGACTTCATGTGTAACTTCCACTCTGGGTGCGAGGATGGCTCTACCCATATACCATCATTGGAGATTTAACAGATGTACTCTGTACTACACACGAGTGTTGGCCCCTCTACCATGGGAACCATACCACACATGCCTGGGGAAACTCTAGCCTAGGTTCACTGAACATGGCCCACAGAAATCGACACACAGCCCTCACCATTTGCTCCTGTGCTACTTTACACTGATGTTGCATGAGTTGACTAGGTAAGTACTTCTTCCCCCACTGGTCTGCATACCATCTCCTCTTTGGCTGCTAGAATAGCCCCACCTGCCGAAAACAACAGGCCTTATGGTGCTGCTTCCTGTCAATCATGCGCACAGCCATTGGTTGTAATTAAAGAAGTTATTTGCAGACCATAACTGTAGTGGTCAACCTGGACCAAAGCCAATACAGAATACAGTCTACTAAACTGGCCCTGTAAGACACAGAGTAAAAAAAAAAAAAATCTTCAAATATGAAAATCATTCAGTAGTGGAGGCACATTCCCTGTCTCTAGTATAGAGGTTATCTAAGACTCAAAATCACCATATTCCTGAGCTACACCACTCCTACTATGCACCCAGAGGACTCTGAACCGCATCATTGAGATACATTCCCATCCATGGTCGTTGCTACACCATTTACAATAGCAGGGGAGAACTGATGCCCTAGAAATTCAAATGACATCATGAGGAAACATGAAATATGAAAATGCAAGGTAGCAGGAGAGATCTAAAAGTGTGCAATTGTTCTCAAACAAGGCTTCAGGGAAAGGAAAATATAAAAAAAAATGCCTGAGCAAGAATTCAAAGGAATGATTCCAAGGGCGATCAATGACATACAAGATGATTTAAATAATTTTCTGAACCAGGAAAATCAATTAATGAAATGAATAAGAATTCATCAAAAGGAACCAATTCTAAATCTTGGACATGAATAATGAAAGAAGTCAAATAAGAGAGATGAACAAGAGCTCCAACAACAAGCTAGAGCAAGCAGAAAAACGTCTGAACTTAAAGACGGAGCTTTTCGAGTACCACTGTTACACCGAAGAAAGAAAAGAGAAAAATCATTAGGAAGAACAAAGAAAGTTTCTAAGACTTATGAGACATGTGTAAAGGAACAACTGTTCAAATTATGAGACTTCCAGGACGTAAGGAAGGGGAGGAGAGAACAGAAAACCTATTCACATAACAAATGAGTCCCAGTCCCATCCATTCTCCTGAATATGCCATGATTTCATTTTTCTTTATGGCTGACTAAGATCCCATCGAATATAAGTACCACATTTTCTTTACCCATTCATCTATCAATAGACACCGAGGCTAGTTTCATTACTCAGCTATTGTGAGTGGTACAGCAATGACCATGGATGGACAAGTATCTCAGTGGTAGTTCAGTGTCCTCTGAGTGCATATCCAGGAGTGGTGTAGCTCAGGAATATGGTGATTTTCAGTCTTAGATAACCTCCATACTAGAAATGGGGAATGGGGCTCAGTTGGTAGAGTATCCCTAGAATGGATAAAGCCCTGAGTTTGCTTTCCCAGCACTGCTTAAAACAGGACACAGTGGCACAAATCTGAAATTCCAGAACCAAAAGGCAGAAACAGAAGGTTCAGGAGTTTGAGGTCACTCTTGGTTACACAGTGAGTTCAAAGCCATGTTTGGCTACATGAAACCATATCTGAATAAAGAAAATAGAAAGCAAAACTTCCATGGTGACAAAGAAAAATCTGATAACTTCCTTAATCTTGGAGAGTTACAGACACAGAGGAGACCCAGAAAGCCCAAGAAACCCTGAATAGATTTGATTGAAACATGTCCTTATCACTGCATTCCACAACCAAACTTCCAAATTCTAAAAACATAAAAGCATTCACTCACATTTAAGGTCACCACTATTAAATTTATGGGAGATTTCTCAGCAGAAAACTAATAGACTATAAGGGAACATAACACCATACTAAATGTTAGAAGGGAAAAAATGTTAACTTAGACTATTGCACTGAGAAATGTTATGGAAGAACAAAGGTGAAAACCACGTACAAGACCAAAGTTCAAGGTAAAAATTCAGGAATCTATCATCGCTAAAGCAGCCTTAACAAAATGACGCTCAGGGGAAGCCACACCTGAAAGTAAAAAAGCAAAAGAACAATAGCTACCTCTCTGAAAAGATGCAAAAAACTAAAATCCTCTAGAAGAGCAGTTACATAAAAGATTAAAAAAAAATCGAATCTCATCCACATGGAAAAGAACAGAGATAAAGTCCAGAGATGAAGACTACAATGTGGCCATTTGAAAGCAGAAAACAAAGAAAATGACACAAATAGTTCTATACATAATGCTAATGACCTTGGATGCAAATACACTAGAAGTCCCAAAGAAAAAATAAATGTTGCCTGAATGAACTAAAAAGCAGGACCCAACAATGTGCTGTTTACAAGTAGAACTTACTGCTTCGCCATTGAGGATACACTTACATGGGTGGGGACAGAGCCTGGGAAAGTTGCTCCACACCAAGTGAGCAAGAACGGCTATACTTAGACAAGCAGACCATACATCAAAAATGGCAAAAAGTCACAGAAAGGTGGTATCTGTGTGTTAACGAAGGGAATCCACTCAATGGGAGATGTAACATGTGTCTCTGACTAATGCTAGAATACCTCATAGAGGTATTACATACAGTAACCCTCTCAAAAATAAAGTACTCAACGTTCCGAAGAAAATGTTGGTGTGTCTAAAGAAAGAAACAGGTTGCAGCACAATGACAGTGGTGGATATCAACCCCCACATCCGTGAACGGACAGATCGCCCAGAGCTCTCATCAACAGTCATCAAAGACGCATCAGAGATAAACAATGAAATAGAACAAATGAACAAAACATGAAAGTCCACATACAATGGTCTCAGATCAGTATCATACATAGTGAGTAGAGAGGGGATGCTGAGA